GTCTACACTACAGAGTTTGGGGGGGAGGGGGGAAATGGCTGTTTTTCTGCAAAAACTTGCGGAGTGGCCACACCTCAAGTGAATTTTTGTGCAAGAGAATCAAAAGTACAGAGGAGTTTTTGCACAACTGGTATTTCTCTTTCTACGAGGAAGAAGCCTTTTTGCAAAAGAGTTCTTTCACACAAAAAAAAGTGTGTGGACAGGGAAGAAGGGAGTTTTGTGAGGAAAGAGGAAAAAGCACAGGTGCCCTGATGACCATTCTGGTAGCAATTAGTGCTTACTTTCGAGAGAGAGTCCACGCAGTCTGGACGCTCTCTTTCACAAAAACACATAGCTTTTCCGATGTGCTTTTGCAGTACGGATGTGCTCTTGCACAAGAAGCTTTTGTGTAAGATCTCTTCCAACAAAAGCTTCTTGCGCAAAAAGCCTGCAGTCTAGACATAGCCTGAGAGAAAAGAAAAAGAACACACCAGAAATCTTGCCAATCCTGGGTAGAGGGAAAACTTCATTCCTGGTGAGACCCAAAGCAAGCCTTGAAGCCCAGCTCAGATATCCACGGCTGCATTTAGGCACCTAATGCAGGCCCAGGAGAGTTTTAACTGATAGAGAGGAGTTCTTCCGTGAATCAGATTAATATATGGCTGAAATAGATGGAGACACTCCCTTTTAGCCCTTCCTCTACCCACAGGCAACCTCTTTTTGAGTTTTAGGCGGAAAATGGAAGTGGCACAGGCTCCCAGAACACCAAAGACATACCCTTCCATCTAACAAAGCCCATCTCCTTGCAGGTCCCATATACTCTCCTCTACCCCTACTAATATGATAGAGAGGTGAAGTAGGGGGTACCCCCACCTAATAATGCTGAGGGAATCTTCAGGCAAATTAATATACTCTTACAGAATTAAGACAAGCAAATCTGTCTTAGGTTTAAAAAAGTAATAAACACTTCTGTAATCAGCAAGGCACATACGACCTTTAAGGCTAAATCATGGTAAGCAGTTTGGGATCTCTTGCGAAAGCCTAGAAATACCTTATCCCCCAGAATCCAAATAACACAGTGATCCTGAGTTCCTTTGCTTTGGGGTTTCTATCTCTTGCCTTCCATGTGCTCTGAGCTCCAAACTCAGGTGATGGGAGGAACTCACTTGCCTCAATGGGGAGGAGAGCAGACCAGCAGTTGGAAGTCTTTATTCCTTTCATTGCTGATTTCTCAATCCAGTTGCAGGGACTTTCCAATTATGAGATTCACCCAGCACCCATCTCGTATTGATCAGCCTCCACTTTTAGGAGTGGTACAGCTATTTCTTTGGAAAAGCAGCTTGGCATGTCCCTCTTTTGTGTGGTGATATGTACAGAGGTTCACAATACAACCACTCAGTGATTTCATTACAGTATGGAACACAGATATTACAAGTAAGAGTAATGCAGGCAGCAACTCTCAAACACTGATAGAATACCAGTACCTCTCCTTCTGATCATTCTAGTACCTATTTTATCACTATTAACCCACACCTGTGCTGGACAGATTCCAGGTATATACATGTTCGTGTTCAATTGAGATGATGATGACATTAGCAGTATCGGACCCTGCAATAGCCCATGATTCCTATCTGTTGGCTGGATACCATTATAAAATTTCTCTTTAGACTTAGAATTTTCTCTTGCTCCAACTGTATAAGTGAGAGTTTCACTATTGATTTTACAGGTAACAGAATAATTACCTTTGCAGTTTTAAATAAAAATGTAATGAGACACAGAAATACAAGTGTTTTAAATGTTTGAAAGTAAGCTATTTTAAACCTCTAAGTGGGGGGGAAAGAGATGGAGTATTTCCAAGACAAGTTTCCTAGATCAGGGTGATCATATATTCAAGAACTCCAGTTATGTATCTTTGAAGAATGTGCACTAATTTTTGAAGGGAAAAATAAACTTAACAATGGGGGTCTAATGAAAAAATAATTTTCTGAAAAGCATCTGTGATCATTTTTGAAGTTATTAGATTAATAAGTACAGACTTAGTCAAATGACATTTCCCATCTTAGGAGGGTTATTGACATTTTGATATGAGACAGAGAGACCTTTAACGAGATCTCAATCAAAGGTAATATTTAGATAATGATACATGAATTCACAAATGCTAGTCAAATAAAATGCTGTAGTCCATTTTAGCCTCTGCTTTATGGGAATCTGCACAGGTCACCTGATGAACAAGATCAGTGAGTGTCTACTAATAACTTCTCACTTTACTTTTAATTATGCCTGTTTAATTGTATGAGATAATGTTTGAAGTGGAGTCTTACAATATAACTTAATCTTTCACCCAGACAAATCCCATGGAAGGCATCCATAGCACTTCAGATATTAAAATTTTTTATTCATGTTGAATGTACTGACTTTCTGATGTTCCATTCTATGACAATAGTCCTACATTCCTCTCCCATGCACAAGAGTGTTGGGAAACAAATGCAGAAGCTCTCTATCAAATCCTCCTTTATGACTCAAATGCACAAAGCACAAGGCAGTGGAGGATGGTAGGCATTTAAAGCACACATTTGGAGTTACCTGATTTGTTTTTCTGTGTAGGGCAGTCCCGCATCCCTCTCTTCCTTCCCCCTCACCCTGCCCTTCCTATGCTGGAGTGGAATTTATCTTTTATACAGCTCTGTAGTACAGGCAGTCCCTGGGTTACATGGATCCAACTTACATCGGATCCCTACTTACAAACGGGGTGAGGCAACCCCGCACTAGCTGCTTCCTCCCAGCAGACCAGGGAGACGCGAAGCTAGCGCTCCCCCCAGCAGACCAGGGAGATGCAGAGCGGCTTTTCTCAGCAGACACCTCAGCTTGAGAATAAAGGACTGAGGGAAGTGAGGTGTGGGAGAATAAAACTGAGCTCTGGAGAAGTGTTTGGCTAGAGTTTCCCCTACAATATGTACCAGTTCCAACTTACAGACAAATTCAACTTAAGAACAAACCTACAGTCCCTATCTTGTACATAACCCGGGGACTGCCTGTATATATAATCTACACAGTATAGTGCACATCCCCCCAGCCTCATGCCCCTTCCAAAGAAAAAGAAAAATTAATCTCAGGACACTTCTCACCAACTGCCTTAAAAGATATTTGGGGTTTGTAGTCCAAGCCATTTTGGGGAGATGACAATGAGCAAATAATGTAAATGAACTATAGATTAAATTTCAAAACACCATGTCTAATTTTCCTAACTGCATTGCTTTTTATGGTGATGACAAATGCCTGTAGTTCCCAGTGACTTCAGGCAATTTAGATTTTTGTGCTAATTTTAGGCACCCAAGTTAAAGATTTTTTCCCTTGTCTTTACAATCCACTTTTCTTACTTTTATTAAATTTCTAAGTAAAATTATCAATGACATGGAACATTTCAGGGAGATCATTTTCTTTTTGTGGGTGAGGTTTTAAAACTAGGCTTACAGTGAGAAGTGAGATTCATTCTTAACCACAGAACAGCGGTTTTATTCCTGATGATTTTAACTGTGGGGGGCCAATTTTCAGTGACATATTGGTAACAAGGAGAATAATTTGGCGAATGATTTGAAGTCCTGGTGAACATGGTTACATAACAGCTACCTTATCTTGATTCATTTTGTAATTGACTAAATGTATGCACCTCAAGTTGCTTGATTCAGAGTTATATTCATACTACTAGTTATCCCTTTAAAAGAAAGAAAAATAAAAACCTACAATCATGAATAATAAAAAATAAATCTCTTTTCCACTCCCCACAGCAAGAGGTTATAAGTGCTACCACCTGGCATCTTACTGAAAGATCATAATAAGCTTCTTTTCTTGCAATATTTCAATGAGATGGTACATGGGAAGAATTGGTAAATATCCACTCTTAGAGCCAAATTTGATGCTCAGTCCTTACGTAGGCAAAAGTCAGTGGGAGATTTGCCAAAGCAAGGCTTTGAGGGTTGCTTTTTAAAGTACAATTTACAACCCTTCTTACTGTTCTCTGGCAGTGTTTGTTATTTTTGTTTGTTTGGAAAATCAATGGCTGCTTGAATGCACATTTTAAAATCATGAGTGTAGCCTCTCCCTATGTTATTCTCTCTGTTTCCCCATTCTGTCTACTTCTTTGTTCCCTCATTCCCTCTATATTCTTCATCTTCATTTTACATTCATTTTGATCTTATCTTCACTACTCTCTTTCTTTCCCTTTGTGCTCTCCTTTCCTTAGTATTTCACATTGGGTTGATCTACACACAGAAATTATACCTATGTAACTAAATCAGCTTCTAAATTGACTTACTAAATCAGGTCAACTGCTTCATGTGGACACTCTGTTCAGCTTAAAAGTGGCTGAAATAGTTTTTAACATAAACAAATAAAGGTAAATCAATGCTAGCCACTCTTAAAGCTTTTTAAAAGTTCCCACTTTTAATTAACCCAATTTAGTTAAATCAGTATAATTTGTATATACAAACCACATTTTAACTCCTCCTTTTAACTATTGTATTATCCCTCTCCACATCCTATATAGTATCTCTCTCATTTTCACATTAATCCAGTGCCCTGTCCTTTGGACTAGGCTGCTTCTGGATTATATTCTTTAACCTCCTTCTCTAGTCCATATTTTTGGTGGATGAATTCTTATCTGTTTGTTGTGGCTGTTTATTCCAAACAGATAGAGCTATATTTACCTTTGCTATGAGTTAGCCAGGATGGACGAGAGGTTAGATTACAGAAACATTCAACTGAAGATTAAGCCGCTTCTGTGACTTGCTCAATAAGTGTCCCACTAGCTGGACTATGTAAAGCCATGACCTCTGTTCATATCTTTATACAGCATTATTCTTTTGTCCCAGAGTTGAGGCACACAGTGCATTTTTGGAGGATGGCATCATTATTATTTAGTTAGTTTACACCCCAGCCTTTCCCAAAGCTGTCAGTGTTTGCTTATCACCCCACAGTGGAAATCTGTGTGAGTCAGTTCTCAGAGAACAATAAAAACTGCTTACCAGATCAGTGAACTCTTCCAGGGGCTTCCCTTCACACATCCACACTACCTGGGCCTCTTCTTCACAACAAGAAGAACATTTGTCATTCTAAGGAACAGAATCTTCTGTTTTAATGTTGCCAAATGCATTTTCGTATATCTAGGTACAAAGAATGTAAATCCTACTTACAGAACAGAAGCCTTTATCCCCCAAAGCGGTGATTCTGAGAAAGAGTTGGTGCATGACCATCTGCATCTGAACTCTCTGTGAACTGTTTCCTTTAAGAAAACAAAGGTGGTCTGAGGATTTACAAACAGTGGAATACTGAGTAGGAGTAGGGAACAAATAACCTTTCTTTACAACACAGGGGAGATCCTTGCTGGAATACTCTTGTCCAGCCCTTGTCTCCCCATTTCAAAAAGGAAATTGAAAAATCAGATACAGGCCACAAAAGAGCTGCGGGAATGCTTCAAGGGCTGGAAAACCTATTTTACAGTGTGAGACTTCAGAAGCTCAGTTTGTTTAGTTTATTGAAAAGGTAAAGAGGTGACCTAATTAGTCTATTTTAGTACTTGTTTGGGGAGAAGAATTCTGATAGCTGATATGATGCTGGCCAACCAGGTTCCAGCTCATGCCAAGGCCACTAAGCCACACTGAACACTGACTAATGAATAGCTGAAAATCAGTCTGGCTCACCTGCATGTTAACATTATTAAAGTAGATATTGAGGTATAAGAATGTGTTTAGACTTCATGGAGTGATTGTAGGTTTTTGCTTGTGTAACCCATGCACCTACCAGGTATGGTGTACTGTGCCATGTAGTGGCACTTAAACCACTTAGGGTATATCTACACTACCCTCCTAGTTCAAATTAGGAGGGTAATGTAGGCATACCGCACTTGCAAATGAAGCCCGGGATTTGAATTTCCCGGGCTTCATTTGCATAAGCGGGGAGCCGCCATTT